ATTTCTCTCTCTCTATCCCTTTATCTACCTAACTACCCTCTCTCTCTCCCTACCTATCTACTGTATTTCTCTCTCTATTTCTCTCTCTCTATCCCTTTATCTACCCACCCACCCTCTCTCTCTCCCTACCTATCTACTGTATTTCTCTCTCTATTTCTCTCTCTCTATCCCTTTATCTACCTAACTACTCTCTCTCTCTCCCTACCTATCTACTGTATTTCTCTCTCTATTTCTCTCTCTCTATCCCTTTATCTACCTAACAACTCTCTCTCTCTCCCTACCTATCTACTGTATTACTCTCTCTCTCTCTCTCTATATATATATATATTCTTTAACTACCTACCTACCTAACAACTCTCTCTCTCTCCCTACCTACCTACTGTATTTCTCTTTCTCTCCCTTTCTATCCTTCTACCTACCTACCTACTTTTTTAAAATTTGCCTCTTCAAAACCTTGGTACGTCTTATACTCCAAAAAATACGGTATTTGGTGAAATGGTTTCTGGGTAATGCAATGGTATCAACAAAACTGTTTGTTGACCTAGTGTTATGTGGATGATATTTCAGTGCAGCTGTGGAAATGTTTGTTGCTGTTAGGAAATCCTGGTCAGTTCCCAGTGAAAGGGGATGCCACAGTAGCTGTCTAAATCATTTAAAATAATCTCTGCTTTGAGAAGTATTTTTCAAACTTGGTTTAGGTGCATCCTCTGATGTAAAAATTGGATGACCAATTATTGCAACAAATATTTGTGTTCTATCAGGGAGCAATTGCTGAATGATAAAAAATGTCTATCTCATAAACCACATCAATGTAGTAAACTAACGGTTAGCCTTTTGTTGGCCTAAATATCTTCCAATCAAAGAATTGGACTTAAGTTCATTGCCTGTAATTTCCATACATGGAACTTAATTAATGATATCCAGAGGAATGGACTGACTCTGCATATATCACTAGAGTTTCAAGATTTAATGCTGGTCTGGGTCCTTATCTTCCAGCCTTCTGTAATCTGAAAAGATAAATTTATGTGCATAACCTTGGATCTTCTGCGTACATTGCAGTCATCTTCAAATTGCTTGATAACTCTTTTTTTGAGGGTTTGCTGTTGCATTCTGTTGAACCTGCTCAAGCTTCTTGAGGGGTCTTCAAGGGAATCCCAGTGTAGAGTGCATTGCAATAGGTGAAGGGGATCAGGGCATAGGTGATTGAATTATGGGGTCCTAATCCAGGAAATTGTACTGCTGGTGCACCAAATAAAGTTATGCAAAGGTTGCTTCTTGTCCTGCCCTCTGGGTGTTTTGGAGAACAAGTTGACCCCCTCTTCTTTGTGGCAGCCCTTCAAATATCGCAACACTGCTATCATGTCACCTCTCATTCTTCTTTTCTTTAGACTAGCCATAGTTCCTGCAACCNTTATTCCCAAGTGGACCCTTGTTCCTTAGCTGTTCCCTTCATCTGGCAGCTCTGTGCATGTGCACACTGGGGACAGGCTCCAGCTGTTCTGCTCCACTGATTTCCAACTCCGAAGGTAGCAGACAACTGTCATATGGTCCTGGTCCCATCTCTGCCTCTGACTCAGAGCCCTCATCAGAGCCTTCTGCAGACTCCAGGAGTGGTCCAAGTTCCTCCCCCACCTCCTCGCTGTCCAAATCTGCTGCCAGATCAGCTGGTGGGCCACAACAGTTTCCATCCTTTTCCTTCCAACCTCCAGTATGGATATTGGCTATTTGTCACCACTGTTGGAATTGCAGAGGTTTGAGCCAAGTTATCCAGCATACAATGATTGCATTATCTCTAATAGACAACTTACATCCAGTGTGGATCTCGTTGATGCAAATTTGCTATGGCATGTTCTTTTTGTCCCCCAATGTGCATCATAGACCTAAAACATTTACAGAGAAATCACACGGAGCAGCTTTTACTTCTGCCCCTTCTGTAACTGGTGCTTGCTGACTGTTTTGTATCGGTTGCACAAAATAATATCTATGTTATGTTTTTCTTTTTTCTTTTTAGTTAGCTGGTGTTGCCTTTCTTGGAGCTGGTCTTTGGGCATGGAGTGAAAAGGTAAGCAAGTGAATTCCTTTTAACCATCATAGGATCTAAACATGTGATGGTGAACCTATGGCACATGTGCCACATGTGGCACGCACAGCCCTCGCTGCGGGCACACAAGCTGTTGCCCCAGCTTAGTTCCACTTTGCATGTGTGTGCCTCCTGCTGGCCATCTGATCTTCAGGTCTCTGCCACACATGCCCGGGGGTAGGGAGAGCTCGGGGGTGTGTTCTCCTGGGGGTTGGGGGGGAATGGCCCGTTTTTCACTCATTTTTGCCCTCCCCAGCCCCCAGGAGCACTCTGGAAGCCTCCTAAAGGCTATGCACAGCCATTTTGTGAAGGGGGCAGGGTTTCAGGAGGCCAAAAATGCTGTATTCAGTGTATAAGATGCACCCAGATTTTCACCTTCTTTTTTGAGGGAAAAGGGTGCGTCTTATACTCTGAAAAATACGATACATAAGAATTGGAAATGTTTACCCTTGAGAAGACTAAAGAAGAACATGGTCATGGTCTTCAAACACTTAAAAGGACATATACAGAAAAAGGTGACTCCACTTGGATGTTACCAAAAGCTTCTCAGGTGGTAGTCTCTAATTCATTGGGTGTGTTCAAGCTGAAAGTAGACTAGGTTATCTATCTTAATCTTTTTAGGTTGTTTCCTGCACTGTAGTTTTTGCACTGAGGAGTGTGTGTGTAGCTTATTCTTCTCAAGCACACACACACACGCACAAAGTTAAAAGATCAACATTAAAATATAGAAAAGGAAGGGAACAGCAAGGAAGGAAGGAGTGAGTTGAAAACAATAGAAAATGAAGAAAAGAAACTTTAAAAAGTTGTGTCTCATCTTCTTGATGGCAGTGATAAATATACTTGAAAAGGTTTCTCCATTTCTAAATAACATAACATGGTTCCCTTCTCCTTTTATTCATCCCTTAT